CCACAATCTGAAGGCGATCGAGCCTGCTTGGTTAGCTTCCGTCTAAGCTCGGTTGCGATACGTGATATGGGTCCAACAAAGAGCGAGCCACCCATAATATATGATGGGCACGCTTTTGAATACCATCCAAAAAGGGCGTTGCCGATATTATGGGGACAAAGTAAGGTGTGGTCATGGTTTTAGTTGCAACGGATGGTTCACGGCTGTCGAGAATGGACACGACAGGTGACAACCATGCCTATTTACCATGTTTTTGAGCATGGCACATGTACTCATTTCAACTCAAGGCAGCTGTTGCCTCCTCCACGCAAAAAGAAAGAGGTTTGCTGATAGAAACTACAATACAACAACTGAAAACTTGACCTTCACTCTAGTGGTTGCTTCGCAAAGAAGTTCCGACTGGGTCGATCTAAGACCCCGTGCAAAAAGTCAATCGACTTCCTGCTGTTGAACCTTCCGGGTGTTCGTTCAAACCGAACAGGCAAGCCCCTTCAAAACTGGATTGCCCTTCCCCCCTAGCAAAGGTCTGACCTTTTCTAGGTTGAATGAACGTTTGTTTCCACAAGGTCCAAACGGGGCGACGCGGTCACACCAACCCTCACACAAACTTCTACCCAAGTTGCAAGGGTCCTCCTTTCACGTCATGCTTTCCCTTCAAAGCTTGTCTCAAGCTACCCCACTGCCGATACACTTCAACCAGATGCTGCGGGCTTTGGAGTTCCTCACTTTGGAGACTGCCCTTCGACCTCAGAAACCCCTGATCGCGCCATTTTGAACAAACCCTCCGTGGCCAAAAGGCAAAACGCACTCTTCATTCACCTCAAAAAAAGTGCTCCGAAGTGGCGAACATCTCCTAAAACTTGGGGAAAAAAAACCTTGGGAACTGAGCCCGGTTGCTTTCCCGTTTACCGGATGCACCTAGCAAGCTTTCTGGCTTTTGGACGACGGGCGAGTGCTGGGAAATACAATTTGGAATGGATGGGCTTGGTGAGGGATCGGAGGTGGCCGTCTGTCGGATGTATCCTGATGGAAAAATGTCCACCTCTGGTCCGCCGCCAGCTCCTTCCACGTCCGCACGGAGCACACGGCACCAAAGCGGCCCTCGGAAAAAGAAACCAACGCGAGGCTGGCCGCATCAGACCAAACCCTCGCATGTTTAACCTTTCAAAAAAAAAAAAAGAGCGTTCTTCCTGTGTTTCCGGTTTGTCACATCCCATACCCGAAAACACAACCCCAAGGCCCTGGAAGCCTACAAATGACAAGTCCCAGCCCTCAGGGGAATTACAGCGGTCAAATCTATGAAGGTTGCCCAAGAGGAAATGGGAAAAGTAGGGTTTGTCCCATGGATTTCGCGGGAAAATATGTGAGTCCCCCGTTGCTTGCGCCGCGGGAAGATATGTGAGTCCTGGTTCTTGTGGGAAACTTCGAGCTTGTCCCCCGTGTCTCGTTTACAGGAACTATAGTCAAATCAAGGAATATTGACCGACCCTCATATTCTGAATTGGACCCCCAAGGGCTAGTACCCAAGGAATTTTGGGCCAAGCTGGTCCTTCGAAACCCCCCCCCATTCCCTTGTTGCTTGCGCGGTGGTCAAATGGACAATCTCTGTGCAGCTCTGCTGGTCCCTCAAAGCAAAGAGGGTTCTTACCGCCCACCACAACTGAGAAGAAAACAAGAACAAAACCTTTGGAAGAGTGCTCAAGTGCCAAGCAGCGAAAAGGACAAGTGCTCAAAGGTACCTCGAAGTGCCAACCTTAGATATACAAGAGAACACACATCGTGGTGCATGTCTTTTGGTTTAGGTGCGCTAACTTTGCCAGGGTAGAGGATACCCTTCCGGGCCCTCTGAAGGTGCCGGTCGCTTGACACAAGGCCGTTTTCAACTTTGAGTGTTACCATAGTCACCCATCACCGGCTTCAGGACAACTCACCTAAAAGGGCAACCAAACGCGACCAAAAAGGGCAACCAAGGGTCAAAGCCGACAAATCTCAAAATATTTGACCACAATCCTGCAAAGCATATTCTTCATAAGCAAGGCAGCTTCCGAGGTGTCTATGCCGTGTTCCGCTGTAATCTGGAGACCTAATGCACAGAGACATTGCAGCGAATGGCTCTGAGGCTCCTAAGGTCTGGAAATTTCCTCAAAAGACTCGCTGGATGTCCAAGGATCCACTTGCTCAGCGCTATAAAGACTGCTTCAGAGCATTCGCCGTGCATGTCCGGCAGGCCTAGACATTCCAGATGCCTAACTCGTGCTTTCGAATTCGGGACCGGTGTCTGTTTTTTGGCCTAGCGATCCGCTGTCACGCTTATGCGAGCTGAGAAAGGGGACGGGCTCCCAGCCGAGTTCAGCTGAGAGAGCAAAAGTCCCCCTGCACAGCTTCCGGCGCCGAGCAACGGACGGGAGGTATTGGATTGGTCGGGCGGAGGTCTGGTATAGGACTCCGCCCTCCCAAAGTGTTTCATCTGCATCCCATGCAAATGACATGCAACTCATGTCAAAACTGCCCGCATTCCGGAGCGACAGTGCATATCACGGACAGGTGATGCTTTGTGTAACCAGAAAGCGAAAGGAGATCATCTGCACTGCGTTCCGTTGCAGGAGGGCCGTCAGCTAGTCCTGGAATGCATGTGACCGCCCAGGCTCACTGATGCTTGCATGGGAAACCGAGTAAGCCAGCGTGCTAACCGAAGATGGCACACCAAGAAAATGGTGGTCGTTCCAAAGGTGATTCCTCCAAAAGCGATGCTCCACGCCCTCATTTGGACGCCAAAGTGTGGAAATCTCGCTCTGGCACTCCAGATTCACATGGAACCACAGTGAACCAAGCTTCCGGGGTGTGACCATCGTTCTTGAAAAGAAATCATCAAGCAACTCCACGGAAAGCTAGCCAGATAAGCGCCAACGCAACGTCTCTGTTGTTTGCCCCCGCTCTAGCTGAGGTCTTTGGAAGAAAAGGTCAAGGAGCTGCTGGCCATCCCTGAACCTGTGCCCGCGCTGAAATCCTGGGGGGTTGCTGTTGGGCACCTGGGCATGCGTGTTTGAGGTCCATGCCAATGCAAGGGCAATCCGATCTTTCAACCACGCACCTGCACATTTCGGCCTTCATGTCGCCCTTCAACTCAAGAAACACGTTGGATGTCGAAAGAAATGGATCTTCATGGGCGGTGAAGTCCCAAAAAACCATCCTTCACATTACCCTTCGGCCCCAGAAACACGCTGGAAGTCGGACAACGTGGGCTTTCACGCGTGGTTTGAGTTTCCGAAAAGCCGACCCCTCCCAAACTTCCGCCGAGCAAGACCTCAGCCTCGCACCTCATCACTTTCCCCAGTGATCACCTCCGCTGCCGCGGGGCCTCACATCTGCGTGATGCTTTCTTCTTTTGTCGAGTTCGACCCCCTCGTTTTTGGTGTGTGTTCTAAGAAGCAACATGTCTTTTTTGGAGTCGCTTGCCTTTTTGCTGGTTTTCTAAGGGAAGCCAAAAAGGCAACAACATATTGTTACGCCTCATTTTTTGGGAGGTGCGATTGTTTCCAAAAAGGTCGCAAAGTTGGCTTAAACCCAGGACCCCTAAAAGCTTTCAGGGAAAGCAAGCACCTGGAAGTCTACCTTGGGATAGTCAAAGCATGGAACCTTGGACACGATAAAAATACATGGGATCGTGGACCCCTTCTTGAGTGGCCTTAAAGAAAAATCAAAAAGAAACCACTCATTTTTGGGTCCTGAGCAAACACGCATAGGGGCTAGTCCCTGCAGATTAACATGGAACCCAGAAGCAACGATTTCCCTGAGGAAATTGGGGGAAGACACAAAAAAGGGGTTCCATGTAACTTGCAGGGGAGCAAAATATTTCACACATGATTCTCCCGTGAGGAGACTAAAATGACAGACACTCGGTGGTAGTAGCAATTCAGAAACTGAACACACAAATACAGATTTTGAGGGGAGAGTCGCAAACAGTCAGGAGAGATGCTTTGTGGCAGGTGGCTGCGCTCGGAGGTGCGTGGAAGCATGTCTTCTCTTGAAGGCTCCGCAGTGGGGTGAAAAGTACATGGTACAACCTCCCCATTTAGGTTTTAGCATCCATTTGCGGACATGAAGGAAACAGTACCATTGGGCCGTCTAGTTTCACCTGGCCCTGTTTTCAAGGGCCTTCGGGTGTTGCCACGAGCGGAACCCAACTCCTTTCGTAACGGGCTGAACAGCCCAGTCAAGCACCTTTTTCCAACAAAGACCACAAGAAAAAACGCCAGCGAGCCTTTACCAGACCCTCCCTCCCCGCCTTGCCCGTTTCTTTTTGCAGGCTCCGTGCTCCTTCGTTTGTGACGTCCCCCGTCTAAAAAGGCGCCCGGTCAGTCCACAGAGAGGCGCCCTCGGACTGGGCTGCAGGGCTCGGATCTTCTTCAGGGCCTCCGGGAATTCGGCCCGCTCCCCATCTTCCAAGACCTCAGAGCGTGGAGGGCCCTTGGGCCCCAAACCAGGGCCATCGAAACGGCTCTGCTCTTCAACCCATGAAATGCTTTTCCTGGGGGGCTGCGGATGTGGGTGAGGATTTGCCACTTTTTCTGGCTTCTCGGATGTGGTTGACGTATTTGAAGGCTTCAACCCATGAAACTGGCCTTTGTGGATGAAACCTCGTGAGAGTTCACCCCGTTCACCCCCCATGTCCCAAGCCCGGGACATGGACGGCCTGGAAATATGGAGTTCCCCTAAAGAAGCCCTGCGGAGGGTTGCATACAAAATGTTGTCGTCCCCCCCCCCCCGTTTTGAGACAACTCCAAAACCCGCCCCTTGGCATCCTCGAAGTGACAACCTTCAAAGCCGCGACGGGAATCCATGTCCAGCCGAAGAGGTCATCAATCTTACTGATGGACCCCGATGAAGCTGCCAAGCATCGCTTCACCTGCCACTGATGCGAAGCCATGGCTTCTCGAAATGGGATTCGGACACCTTTTTGGATATGGCCCGAAATCAGAAATCTCAGGCGTCCAAAAACCCTAGCACTGCCGGACTCCACCCAGGCGCGTGGCAATCGGCCTGAGAAAGGCCGCTGGCGGTTTTCGCTGGGGGAAATGGGTCTCGGGACTTGGTGCTCAGTAGGGAAGAAACCATGCGACTGATGGATTCCTTGGGGACCCCCAGGTTCATTCCCTCATTCCCTGCGCGCCAAGGAGAACTCTCCAACTTCCAAAGGGGCATGTGGAAAATGGTTCCGGGGTGCCTCGGAGTGGACAAAAATCCACAGGCACCCGATGGGGTCGCGCAATCCCAGCGCATTTCAACCCCGAATCTGGATCTGACGTTCACCTGGGATGCATCGCGCGCGGGATTGAACAAGTTGTGAAAGGCCTCTCTCCAAATGGGAGATCTCAAAATGGCTTGGGTTGCGCTGGTTCTTTCACCTCAAGACAAGCCCTCACACCCTCATATCTTACGCCCCAGGAGCCATTGTCGCTATGAGGTTACCGTAGAGAACTCTCTTGTGGCAACTTGCTGCAGGTCCCTAAAGGGATCGAGAGTTCCTACCTCCGTATGCAGTCTCCCAGAACGGGCCAGGGTTCAAACCAGCTTTTGCCCTCTCGCCTCTCGGCCCCCGAGCTTGTATTCATCAGGCACGCTGCTGTGCATGATCGGGCTGCTCCGGTAGCGGTCCACATGGGCCGCTTGACCCTGGCACGGCCGGCCCCGCACATCCGTCTACCACAGACCAAAATCGCCTGATGAACGGGGACGAGGTGTCCAACCTAAATTCATCACCCCAGGAAACTCACATGGAAAGTCTTTGAATTGGAAGCAGCACCCCAAAGGCAGCTTAAGCTGCAGCTGCCAAAAACAATCAGAGCAAAGCTCTGTCCGTAGCAAATGGATCTCAAAACAGGGGTCGCCCCCAAAAAGATCCCTCAAAATCGAGTTTGGCTGTGTAGGCCTTCCGTTTTCACTTGCAGGAGAACAAGAAATGCAAGGGTCTCCCCCTTGTGATACAGCCATGGCAGGCAAACGAGGATATTGGAAGGGCGGGCCCACGGGGCCCCTGACCGTCTGTCCTGCCTGATGAGGGCCGCTCCAACTGACCTGCAAGGCAAGAAGCCTTTGGCGTTCTTTCAACATCATGGACCCCCGTTTAGGGGCTATTGGGTGGGGGGGGGGGTCTATGACCTATGGACCCTCTTAACGTCCTGTTAAAGAGCTTATTCTCGGCTTCGGCTTTTCCAGGGATAGCCTCTCAAGCCCCCTTCAAAATCCGTGACAAAAGGGCGGATGCACATCCTGCCATCCTGCCAAACACGTGAGACCAGCCAATGCAAATCTGCCACCCTCGGACAGATGGACCGCACTCAAGGGACTCAACCTGCAGAGGAGCATCGCTAAAGGAAGGGTAAAAAACACCTTTTTGAAGCAACCTGATCAAAGCAATCAACGCAATCCGAATTCCAGCGGGTACATGGGCCAGAAGGCCACACTACACAACCAGTTTGAAGGACACACCCAAAGGCACACCCAAAGGCACACCCAAGGCACGGCCCCCAAATGAACAGGCCCATATTTGCTTGGGAAGGTTCCGCCTAAACACATGGTGCGCCGGCACAGCCGACATTGGTTCATGAAAGTGACAACATGGGACACGAAACCTCAACTTGTCGAGGAATTTGTTTGAAGGCGTTTTAGGTTTGATTGTGAGTTGCACCGGGTTTTTTCTAGGTCAGGGGCAAAGTCAGAAAAGAAACCCTCAGCATGCAACCACGGGACCCAAACAACTCGCACACCTCATTGTTTATTATGTGTGTTTTTTTTTACCTTTTTCCGGGGGTCCATCGAAAGTGACATGAAATCTCATCTCAACAAACGCACCCAAATGTACATCGCGAAAAGCCCTTGGCCGCCCGCCCCCCCGCCAAATAGGAGTTGGATTTTCTTATTGACCCACTTTAAGTGGCCCAGGAGCGGAAACCCAAGCGTGGCATTTGGAAACCAAAACGTGTTTTTCGGAAAGTAGCATCCTATTCGGAAACTAGTTCGGAAGCTGCAAAGGTGCTGCATATCCGGAAAGTAAATGTGGTATTCGGAAACCGGTGTTCAGAAACTGGGGAAACTGAGACACGAGGCATTCAGAAACTGGTAGTTGGAAACTTCGACGACGGGAGTCGGAAATTGAAAAAATACGATATGGGAACTGGCGCTCGACACGCAAAGGCGGCATTCGGAAACTGGGCAGTGTGGGACTGGTGCTCAGAAACTAAAAGCAAAATAACTGTTTTTGCGCGCTGAGAAAATCAGGGGAAAGCACAGCAAGGAGGCTGCATTCTAGCCAGGTTTTCCCAATTGCGAGCGCATTGTGGGTCATGGCATTGCGCCCGCGAGCCGCGCAAAACGTCCGCGGATCGCCCGTGCAAGCGACTGACTATCAAATCACAACTCTTGATTGCCCCACACGCGCAGCCCTTTACCTTCCGGCCGCGCAGGCTGCCCACCAGAAGGCCTGGCTTCCCATTAACCTGTTCTCTGGGCTTGCAATTCTTCATCCAAGACGCGCCACTCATCGTCACCCGCGCTTCCCGCAAATTGACGGCGCTCCGCAAAGGCACCCCATAGCCAGCGCCCCACAGCTCCCATCTCAAAAGAGCTTTCGCCCGACATGAAAAGAGCAAGCTGACCGATCACACGCCCACGCTGGATGCTGCCTAGGATCCGGCTTGCCGATCAAAAAGCTCACGCCACTCTCTGGCCGGGATCTTCGGCGTGAGGTCGGATCCACCGCTCTCCGCACACGGCGCAACGCCGTCGGCAAATTCTCCGCTTGCCAGGATTCACCTGGATTTTGCGTGCATGCGCAGAACAGAAACGTGATTGACGGGTGTCTCAGTTTCAGGCCCACGGCCTGCGGTCGCACCTCCTCGATCCGGCACTCCAGATCAAGGGTCTCGCGCTGGCGCGCCGCCTCGTCACCTACGACACGCGGATTCTAGTTGCGCCTCCCCCCGGCCACATGCCAGCGTGCGCCTGGTCCGCTTGAGCCAGCACGGCAATGGCGACGAATTCAGTTTTGAACTGCAAGCCGGGCTCATGAGTGCACATGCCGATTCGGGGGTGATCAGCACGAAACGGTGTATCACCTTGAAAACCCCCTATCACCTTCTCGCGGGGCGAAGAACACGAAACACATGTCTAGGAGAAGCTCCCTTCCCGAGAACTTGAGGTCTAAGCTCGCTTTGCAGATCGTAAATCAAAGAACAGATAAGGCGGAGTTGTGTAAGATTTACAAACCACACGCTGCGCTTGACGACGGCAGGGATCACATCCAGCGTTACCACCAGGCAGGTATTCCGGCGGCCTGCGCTCGCCAGGTCTTGAACAAAAAGACGTGAAAATTGGTGACCAAGCCAAGCTGGTCGCCGGGCGCGCTCGGGGATCAAAGTGGCAATGCTGGCAGGTAGAACGAAATGTCTCCAACCGCGTAGCCCTGTAAGCCGGTCTTACGGCGTTGCTGCGGGCCGCTGCCGAAGGTGGCTGGGACCACAAAGCGCCTGCCGCGTCGCCGCCGCTGCGTCTGCCAAAGATGGCACCACCGCATCACCTGCAGCTGTTGCTCTTGTCTCCCTAACGCTCACAGCCCTGGAGCCTACTTGCAACGCACATCCTCCGAAAAAACCCGCGAACGCAATCTGAAATCCGTTGAGGCCAGAAGAACACTGGGCCAAGAACTGCCCCCCCAGCCCTGCAAGGCCTCAAGCACATCCAGCTCGGCTGTTGGGCACCTCGAAGACCGCCACGACGCTGCGCAATGAGCCACATTTCCTCGTCGCAGTCCGGAAGACTGGCCGTTGAAAAGCAGTTAGAAATGCAAAAACGCCTCCCGAGACCCTATCAATGCAGACTCTGATGCCGCCAGCTACGCCCGCCATCGAGCACTCCGGCCTGCCCACCCTCGAAGTCGCTCTCAACCGCATCATCAAGGCCGCTGATGTTGCTCCAAGACCCGGCATCACACAGAAGACGCAGTGCTGAGCGGGCGCAGTCGGCAGTCGAGCGTGGATGCATATTATTTGGCAATGCTGCATGCAGTGCTGAGTGGGTGCAGCCAAGCTTTTCGGAGTCTCACTTCTACGAATCCAACTCAGGCAGTTTCTGAATCCGACTCTGAGGAGTTTCTGAATCCGACTGTTTCTTTTCATCCGACTCCGGCAATTTCTCAATCCCAATTTCTGAATTGGACTTTTCAGTTTCTGAACCCTAGTTTCCGAATCGGACCAAGTTTCTGAATACGACTTTCTTCGACCCGCCCCCAAACAGGGTTCGCCTTCTCCACTGAAATGAGTAGCCTCCCCTGAAAAGGGTCTCTTCACTACCGGGGGGCTGCTTACTTATAACGTAAACAGTGGAAAAGGCAAACCACGGGCCCCAAAAAGGGCAGCCAAAAACCCCAGCGGGGCCAGCCTGACAGACCTTGGAGCTCGGAAGCACCTGGCGGCCGGCAGCCAACCGCTCAAAGGGGTCCATTCCTTGTTCGACATGGGGTGGTTGAAAAGGGAGACCAAAGGAACAGCCACATGTGGTGTGTTTGTTGCGTCTTTCTTCTTTCTTTCTTTTTTGGGGGGGGTTCCCCTAAAAAAAGAACACACCCACATGCACACATGGACGCTTTGCGGTGTTTGCCACCAAACCCTAAAGGCCAGCAATCTAGGATGCTGGGGGTCGATTGTCGAGTTAGTTCTGGATGGTGAAGGCAAACCAAACACCAAAAGGAGACCAATCCAAGAAGGGAAGTGCTAAAAAGGTGAACTGCACCACTCGACCTGCTACAAGGTTGTCCTTTTGTTTCTGATGCATTTTGTGGGAGGACAAGTTTCGACTATGCCGCATGTCACTTTAAGGCATCCTCACAAGAAACAAAACATGCACCAGGTAGTCCAAGAGGACCAACCCGGTTGAGCTCGTTTTCATCCATCGCTTACAAGGGGAATGGCCCCGAGCCTCATGCGTCACATGGGCGGCATGTTTTCTGGCGACGCGGTCCACGTTGCCATGGAACACACCAAAGGTCCCTTCAAAGGATCATAATTTCCAGGACCCCTTGGTCAGTTTCCATATTGGTGGAAAGGTATCTTCATTCAGACGGATGCCTGGAAAGCATGCGGAAACACTGGTTGAGCCGGATACCTTATGCTCGCAACCTAGCAAAGTCTATCCTTGGTAGAACCCATCACTGTCCTTGGCCCAACCCCCTGGTAAAGAATATGATCTTTGGAGCCTGGTCCATAGTCAAATATAAAATATTCGCTGGGATCCCACGAGTGAACTAGCCTCGGACAATGTCGGCCCGGTCCTAGACAGGAAGGAAGCAAAACATTTTGCCTTCCTTCAGGTGTTGCATGGGGGCAAACCGACCGATGGCTCTGTTCGTTGGTCTGTAAGCATCCCAACAAAAGGGCCTTCAATGTTGGGTTGCTCCTGCCCTCTTTCATGGGTACCCCCAAAAGAGCACACTCCCAAACCAAGCTTCTGCTCTTGTGGTTTGCCCTTTCAAAAGCTTGAAGCAGATCTTGTTCCTTGCTAAGCCAAGGCCAACCCAAACGCGCCCAAAATGATCTCTATGTAAATTCAAAGCCAGCTTCTGCGACTCACTCAAGTGGCTTCCGCCTTTTTGTTCAAGACTTCCAAAATCGGACCCTCGTGGTGAATCTTTGCGCTTTGTTCCAGGTATCGAAATAAAATAGCTGTCGCTCACGTGGTCCCTTTAAAAGAAACATGATCCAGGACTCCCCTGTCAGGTTCCGTGCTAAGTGGTGGGAGGGTAGTCAGGAGTAGAGAGCAAGCCCCCAGCATGACATGCGCGATGCGCTCGCCACGGTTGCGGCCCCGCACCCACTTGGTGTAGCCGTCAAAAGTCTTCCAAAATGGCGGGACCTCGGTATCGCGCTTGCGTGACATGCCCCGCACAGGGCAACACTCGGAAGTTCTGCACCCTACACTAAGCCAAAAAAACAGGACACCTCCAAAAGTTACTCCAAAAGTTACTCACCCAGCTGTGTGATGCTCCATCATCTTGCTTCAATCACTCAAGAATCCAAGACAAGGGTTCACTCTGGCTGTGAAGATCTGTCCGATGAAGGGAATGCCTGGCACGTTGCCCTCAGCATCTGAAGGGGAAGTACACCAAGAAAGCGCCCTAGATATTCAACGGCCGGAATATTGGGGGCTAAATGACTACACGCTTGATTCTATGGCCATCATTTGGTTTCAAAGCAGCCCACAACCTGATTGTAGCTATTTGGGCATTTGCGGGAAGTAACACTGTGAGAAGGGCGGATCTCCTGACCTTTCCGGCCTACTTTCATCCACCCAAGGTGTGACTGTACAGGGCCTGTCATTTGCTTGAGTGCACCCCTTTACGGGTTGGTTCAAAGGGAAGCGCAAAGGAAGCCGTCGCCATTTTCTGGGGGTCCGGTTCCAGTTTTCGAGCCCGGACGACTCGGCTCCACGCGTGCGCAGGCACAGTGAGATTGACAAAGGCGTAGCCGAGACCGGCCTTTGACCTGCCGGTTCGCTGTGCGTTGCGCCCGAAGTGGCCCTGCTTTAGCAGAAACCCGGGTTGAAAATGCAAGGGCGGTGAGGGGTTTGCAAACCAACCTCACCCCATGCCTAGTCCGTTGCCCGTTTTCATTCTTTTGACAGGCTTAGCCACGAGGAAACTGAATTTGGAGTGCCCATACTTGTCTCCCGTAAGGTCGTCTAAGCAAAACGTGCCCGGACCATCCACACACCAAATCTTTGGCAAAGTTGGACCCGCCCAGGGACACAACAACAGTCGCACCTTGAATTTTCTTTGCTTCGTTCCAGCCAAAAATACGGTCTGGTGCAAAGAAGACCCCAGTGCCAACCCTTCCGACTTCCCTCCCGCCTTGCGCCGATCCGATTCGGATCCGATCCGATCCCCCGCCTAAAATCAATTGGAAGATACAGAAAATCGAACTTGCCTTTGAAGCCTTCCTGGCACAGAACCGCCGCAGCCGAGTGGGCCAAAAATGGACTGGGGAACGCGTCCAAAAGGAACTGTTCGCAAGTGGGTGGCTCTCAAACCAAAAAGCCTCGTCCGATAAACCAGCAAAACAAAGCAAACAGCGACCAGTGTCAACAGACTCTCCACCAAAACAGTTCACCCTTGAGAGAGGCCGTGGTTCGAGGGAGAGGGATTGTAAGGAATGCGCCAAAAAATATGGCGCGGTAGTGCAAGACAGAGAGGAGAGAAGCCTTAGCCGTCCGCGGAGCCGTAGCCGCCCAATTTTTGAGGGGCGGGCGAAACTCGCCTTTCAGGGCAGAGACCTGGCACATTGGATGACATCCACTGAAACCCATTTGGAGAGTCTTGGGAACTCAACCCCCTTTGGATCTTGAAGCCATTCAAGAGGTAGTTACCCATACAGGCAACTGGAAACATCTGGGAAAGACCCAACCCCCAGTGGCATCGGGGGAAATAATGGGCACTCTTTTGGGTAGTCTGCTTTTTTCAGGGTCCCACCCCCTCCAAACAAGAAGTTGAAAGGATTTGAGCCCAAAGGTTCAGGAATGGGGGCATGGCATGGAGCTGTCCTGGTTCAACAGGTTCACCACCATTGATCGCCTCGGCTTAGCGTCGCGTCGCTCTGCGAATGCATCGGGCTGAACATTTGGCATTTGGAGGCCAAAGGCAACCGCAACTAGGTTGCCACAAAACCAAAAGGGTACCCTCTTTGGAAGTGGACAGGGGGCTTGTTCAAGATAACTGTAGCCTTCTGAAACCCTTCTGTCAGCTGTCATGCTTGGGGGGTGAAAACATTCACCGATCAAAAAAGTGTGTCATAATTCCCGTACTCCGAATCCCACAGTACAAAGGCCTGTGCAAAAGAAAATGGACGACAAGTGGAAACCACGAGAATGCCGACCAAGATCCTCTCCCTTGGGGGTTGGTCATCTCACGGCAACAGCTTCTTCTTGGACAAGCAAAGCGAAAAGCGCATGGAGTGTACCTTTCTCTTGGACAGGAATTGGTATGGTGATGGGTCCTTCGGGTTTTGCGGGTCCGGTTTTGCATGTGGATCCAGAAGGGACACTGCGCTTGTAGCACCATCCACTTTGGCGTAAAATGAGCGCTAGACTATTTCACCCCCTCCTCTGAAAGATGTACTCCGGGTGATCGTAGACTGCAAAACTCCCTTCATGTCGGCAAGCGGAAGTCAACCTCAACTGGAACATCATCTATCTTCACCCAAGTTTACTTGGAAACCAAAGTTTTAGAAGACCCCGAAAGGAGATTGCTCCTTCAAACCGTTTCGTGCTTCGGGTAGATTTCTGCAGGCCTCAGGCAAATGGTGACTGCCTCGCCCAAAATATCCAGGCGAAGAAAAAAACGAAGCGAGATACTTCGACGCTGATCCTTTTGGCCTAAAGACAAGGGGCCAAGCAAGTACGGTAGAATCCAAGGAGGGTCCCCACATCTGGATATGTCCTTTGTTGGTTGCCAATTCAGGGAGCAGTAGCCAAACAAATCCATGATATGATGCTTCATTGGGGAGCCTTTGGTGGATATCATTTACGTGGAATTGTGTGCGCCAACCATCTTTTGAGGTGGTTCCATTGAAATTCATAGCCATTTGGGAATGCGTCAAAGCGTGCGAACACAAAACAAAAGCAACGGGTTTCGTTTTTGTTTCCCGTGAAAGCCTTGGGCCCCTTGGCCGCATTTCGAAGGACTCCCCGCTTCAAAAACCGCACCAGACCTCGCATTGGCCTTCGGGGGGATCCGCGCGCTCGGGCGCTGGCGTGTAGTTGTTTGGCAGGTTCCGCAACATGACCTGCGGCGGCGCCACCCGGCGCGCGCTTTCCGGTTCGAAGCACCAAAGTGTCCAGAGACACAAGAGTTTTCGTTTTTTCTGGAGGCTCGGTACCCGTTTTAAGCTTGGTTACAGGGAAATCAAACGGAAAGCAACTATTTTAAGGGACCACGGTTTTGACACACTGGGACAAAAGTTTTGTGGGAGTGATAAGTGTGCGTGGGCCTGTCTTGGTCTTGGCCTTTTGAAGCATCCCCTAACACCATCTGGAACCTCCCAGGAGCCATCCACAAGGCCAGGCTTCACAGCCGTCACTGTTGGGAAAGATTCCGACAAGACATGCCCGCGCTTTCCCTGCAAAATGCTTTTAAAAAAACACGATCATCCGAAAACTGTGCAATCAGGAATCCCCCCAGGACCTTCATCATGGATGAGCCGAGCTCATCCTGCTGCCAGACCAGATAAGTTGTGCAGCTTTCATGGGTTTGTGCTCTTCCCCTTGAAGCCAACCCCAAAAAAGAACAGGGATCCTTACATTATACACCTGAACATTGCCTTGTAAATGGTGGCTTCCCTTTATTTTGGTGTTGAAAAAGCCATGTTTCAAATGGTTGCAAAATGTATCTCTTAAGGAGCCAGGAAAAAGGATTTCCCTATCAAGATGCACGCGCGCGCGCGCGCGTCCTTCCGCCCGAAAAGAAAACCGAGCCAGCGGTGCCGTTGTCCTCTTGTCGCTTGGCTTGGCCTCGGCTCTGCGGAGGCACAAATGCTCGACCAAGCCGCCAGCCTCAAGAAGAAATGGAGCGCATACGCCTTGTATTTCGTGTCTACATAGTGGTTATTCGGAGCTAGGTTTTTGCTGTCCGGTGGTTGTTTCGCCCTCTTTCTGCTTTTCCTCTACATGCCAACCAAAAGCGCCTACCCTCAAAAGAACACATACCATATGGATATGAGTTTCAGCAGGGAACCACCTCGGAAGTGGTTGGTGGACACCCATCCACCACCAAAGGGTCCCGGACCCACAAAAAAATCATACCCATAAAATTGCCTTTTTTGAGGGTGCCCATTGTGGTGGGTGGTTTTCAAGGAAATCAACGGAAAACCAGCAATTTTGTCCCTGCCCGTTTTTGAGACACTCCCATCACATGGCCAAAACCACCGGGGAGCTCTAGGGGCGCTGCCAGCGCATCAGCCACTGAGATCACCAAAGGAGCTGCGCTCGAAGCGACTGCGCGCATCTTCCAGGCTTCACAGGCGCCATGCTACTGGAAGGGAGGCTATTCTTTTCGGGTTGGTGTTTTTTGGGGGGATCCGAAAAGAGACCTGCCGTTCATTCTGGGGTGTTCCCTCAAATAAGTCTCAAACAAAGCCTTCCATGGTGTGAGCCGCTCCTTTTGGGAGATCCTTTGCTCGAACTGGACACCGAGGGCCATCCTTTTGCCACCGCCTTTTGGGAGGACTCAACTCGACCCCACCTGGCGCCGCCGCCGGGCCCACGGAACCTCCGGGCGGGCGTCTACATCTGCCAACCGGCGAAACGGCGTCAAATGGAAAACCCGAGAAAGGGCAACCACATTGGGTTCCACACATTGGCGTCTTTTGGGGAATTTTCGCGGTTTTCCCGTTTTGTGGTCTCAAAGGGAAACCAGAAGGGAGTGCCCGAGTGTTAGTGGGAACCCTTCTGTCCCTCCCAAATGGACCATAGGTTGGACTGAATTGAATGGGGCGATTCCCGAAAGGTATCACAGAAAAAGGGGGGGTGCCATGCTCTTCCCAACAGCTCGAGTTGAGGCGCCGACCTCTTTGCGACTCAACATAATGCCAAATTACGGGTGTCCGGCGGTTCCGGTTTGTTCGCCACCTTCAAAGAAACCAGGGCCAGACTGCGGTCTAAACAGTTCATCGCTCGGAAAGCCACGAGCAAAACGCCAAAAGGGAAGGGCCTTCAGCCCGGTGAAAACAAGTAGGCCATTAGGGTGGGGCCACCCATTGGCTTAAACATGTTTCAACCACTGGGTTATGATGATTCTTCCCTTGCAAAGGGTGGTGTTTAATCCATTCTTAGCCCCACACAGTAGGCCAGGCTGAACCGAAGCTCCGGGGCTCCATTTGGAGACGTTGACCTCCCCACTCCCCTTTGCCCCTTTGCTACATCAAGCCGTAGCATTCCTAAAGTCCCCTGCTCAAAGGATGAGACTTCCAAAAAACTCCGAAAGGTTCTCTGAAGCTTCAAAACTCGACCAAAATCCGCGTCCCCCCGCCCCCCAGCTTTGGCCACCAGCTTGCTCCAAAAATCCGAGGCAAGGGCGCTGCTGTTCCTCAAGCAAGCTCTTCAGCAAGTCTGGAGAGATGCCTCGCGCTGGTCGCAGCTCGGTGATTTTCAGGGTCCAAATGAAATGGGAATCTGTTTTTTGCTTGTTTCTTCTTCTTTTCTTTTTTTCGGTTGGACTCCCCCAAAGTGGTGGCTCGTTGTCCTTTTGTTTTCCCTTGAACACCCACAGAAAGGGGGTGGCCTTAAGAAAAGACAGACCCAAAGTGCTCTTGGGCGTCTGCCTCTAAACAACCAGGGCAATGTTCGGGTCACTTTAACGGACCCATGGCATCTTAAGATCCTTCCGGCGAGCCAGGAAGCAAAGGTTTCTCTGGGGTTGAGAAGGTCGTGGGGGCAGAAAAATGAAAAGCACACCGTTAGGGTCAAAAGCAAGACGGGCGCTAAAAAAAAGGTCAAAAGAACTGGCTTTGAAGGCCTTCGGGGGAGCTCATTTCTTGGCTTTCCCTTTGCCAAACAAAGGTACTACCACGTGAAAGTGGGCGCCAGAGTCTCACGGGTTGCTGCAATCTGTGATCTAGATTCTCGGAACGGTTGATTCCCCAATGGAGGCACACACACACACAAAGCCTGGACCGAAAAGAGGTTGAACAAACCAAGGGCTGAACACCAAACCAGAAAGGCTTGGAGAAACCTTAGACACACATCACACTTCACAAACATTCTCTACTTTACTCAACCAAACGAAATGGAAGACGTCACCAGAAGCACGGCCCCTTGAAAAGGTTGGGGTAAGCTGAAGTTGCAAGGGTTGTTCCAAACGCCTCGGGGTAGACATTGGCCCCAAGGAACCTACCGTCTCAAAATGGAGACTCTCTGCTCGGTTTGAAGGGAAGCGAAACTTGCTCGTGCGATAGGTTGGAAATGAGAAATTGAAGGAAGCTGGGGATTCCCTCAAAGGAAACCATAGGGGATGGTTAATAGGGGTCATGTTTCTTCATTCCCTGCTGAGCACCAGCAAGAAAAGGAAGCCGACAGGAATCACCTTGAGAAACCACCTGGCCCGGCAAAAGCGCGACCAAGGACCATGTGAAGAGCCCGTGTCTCCTCGGGACATTGGCACTGCGACGTGCTCCATAAGTCTGCTGCAGGGGCTCTGCTCGGCTCATGGTATTGGACCTTCATGTAAGCGACGGCGTCAGATGCTTGCCCAAATGTCTGAAGCCGTGCAAGCAAACAGACGTAACAGCAAGGCTTTCCACGAGGCGACTGAGCCAACACCCCCTGACCAATGGTGAGAAGGTCCATTTCAGCCAAGGGGCTACGATTTGAAGTTCCTAGTTTCTGTCCCAAAGCGCTTCGTCGGTGGTGACCATTTCAACCATTTTGAGAACCCGGATTTTTTGCTCTCTTGGCCTTCCTATGTTTCTTTTTCAGATTTGGGATTTGAACTGCTCCACTGGAATTCCTACTCTATGCATGCCAATAGATGTTTTAAAATCTTGCCAAATGAGACTCGAAGAACACTGACATGATTGTTTTTGGAGAATGCCATGATACGAATCACTTCGGGAAGTTGCGCTCTATCCGCCGGTAAGACTGGCTCCTTGCAAAACATGATCCAAAAAAACCTTCCGGCACCGGCCCGCATTCTATTTTGGTCACCCCAAGGTAGACTAAGTCAGCAGTGGTGTTCCCAAAAAATAAGGTAGCACTTCGAGGGCGTTTGATTGTCTTTCGTTGATTTTCTTCTTCGGGTAGGGGGGATCAGACCAATTCTGGGTGTTTGGGGGGAAGCAAAACAAAAAAACAAAAAGACATACCCATAGTTTGAACTTCCCTTGGAGATCTTTAGGATTGAAGTATAGTAAGGGGACACCTACTGTGCATGCCTGAGAAACCCCCGGTTTCTGATTCGACTCCCTTGATACCAACCAAAGTTCTGGTTTCAAACATGACTAACCCCAAGTGGTGCGAAAGTTTTCGCCACCATCCACAGCATTGGCGAATGAGTTTTCTCCAAACTGAAAGAAGCGGTCGCTGCCACATTTGCTTCATCGCTCCCCCAAGGACACCACATAGCCACAATGTTTCACTCACCCAAGACACCAGGTATGATGTTTATCATGTGCTCCAACAACGAATGCCTGTACGATGGTATGACTTTCATTCAGGGCTGTGGGAAATGGAATCCACTTCCGTACAACAGAAAAGGCTTAAGACTAAGCCCCCAGAAGGGGGAGATTCCCAAAAGTATCAGCCAGTGCCACAACCCCTGATCCAGGTGGTGGGAAAACTTGCTGGTGCTCAGCAGGGAATGAAGGAATGACCCTTCTTTTACCATCCCCTATGGTTTGCTTTGAGGGTTCATTCCCAAAACCCCACTGAGCGCCAGCAAGAACACCAATCCTCAGGTGTTTCTTTTCATGGATTGGGGTCTGGACGCCTGAAGGGGCTTTACAGTACTTTACTTGGATCCCTAAGCCCTTTTTGGGAGAAGGAGTCATTGGAACCATGGACATCTTCTGGTTCCTTGAGGCAAACCTTTTTATCCTAAGTACTTGACATGGATCCCCAGGTTCGTTCCATTTCTCATTTGCCCATGGGTCAAAATCCAAATCGTACCCCCAGTGACCATCCCAACCCCCACTAAAATAGGTTCTAAAATGGGCGGTGAATTTACCTACCCCAAAATGGGATGCCATAGCGGTTTTGACCCACCCATCGCACCGGCACGAGCCCCGAGCCGGGGTTCCAAAGGGGCGAGCGGGTCCATGGCTCCCGAGGCCTGCGGCGTCGAAGGCGGCGAAGGCCGCCTGCGCGGAGCGCGCCGGCAGGTCCTCCAGCGCCTCGGGTGGCTCGGTTCTGGGGGGGGGGGGTCGGGTGGGGGGGGGTTGAGGGGGGGGAGGTGGAGAAGGTTTGGGGGGTTGGGGGGGAGGTGGGGGGGGGGGGGCAGGTGGGCAGGTGGGTAGGTGGTGTTGGGATTCTGGAGTTGCAGCTTCTGTGCTAAGCAGAAAAGCTCCGTGGTTCGAGTTTGCTTTTTGCTTTTGTTGGCCATTGCAAACAACCGCCCTCTTGTGATTCCGCGAAAACGTCGGTGAGCTCAAAATAGGCAGACCTAGGCACCACCGTTTCTCAGTGGATAACTCAGTGCGGGAATGAACCAGAAGGGGATCCTCAAGGAACCAACCAGTTGAACGGTTCGGTTTGGGGCCACTTCCAGGTGCGCTTGTTCTTCTCCGCGTGGTTTGGTTTTGTGGTTGATTTTTCTCACGTTGCCTCCGTTTGTTTGCGTCTTTGGGGTGTTTGCAATCGTGGGTGTTCCTTTTGGGTGCGCTCTTTTCTATCCCTCTTTTTCATTTTTCCCAGGGCTTCCGGGGCCAACTATTGCGCTTGGCTGGCTATAACCATGGTTATAAAGCTCCTGATTCAGCTGGAAGGGAACGTACGAGGAAGGGGTCGGGGTAGACGTCCGGCAAGTTGAGAGTTGCCAGGTCGCAAGCTAGAAAATGAAAGCCCTGGAGAAAAACCTTCTGACAGCTCTGGATGGACCAAATCCACTTCGGACTTGGGATGGATGACACCAAATGAAATCGTTTTTGTCCGTCCACAGGCCGCATCGTGAAAGCGTGCGACATCATCTGCGTTCGACATCTTAGCAGTGCCGCCACAAAGCAATTTGGAAGCTGTACAGGCCTGTGGGTCAACTGGCGTTGCCCGACTGGCTACTTTGAACGCTTGGCGCGCAATCGCGGTCTTGTCACGAGTGGCTTCACCGAGATCGCAAAAGAATGGGCCAGCGCGGTAGTCGGAAGCGTCTTTGCCGGGCCGTTTCGCAAGAAAGATAGCCCCAAAACAGGAATGGATGGTCAAGGCCACGAGGGCGATGCGGGACCAGCAAGAAACCGGCGATGAAAAAGGACCTCAGTGAATTGGAGTCAGCCTGCCAGCTCGCGCCAACGCATCCTTAGTGGCTCGCTAAAGCTTCGACTTTGAGTGGGAAATGTCATTCTAAGATGGTTTCCAGTACCTCCAAGCCTACCCCCAAGGTAAATTGGGGTATGTACCCTTTGTATAGTGGCGATATAGTGGCTGAATATCCCATTCAACCCCTGCAATTGTGGTTTGGGGGTCTTAGATTCGCAAGCTTTCCAAACTCGGAAAGTCTTCTAGATTCTAGACTAAGGAACAAAACCCACTTTGCACCAGTTGGGATAAAACCCTATGAGAACTGGTTGACAAACCAACTGAACAAGTCTAGGAATATGCCTGCGAACCGCCAATTTAGGGGTGTTTGAGATATTTGTCCGAGGTACTGAAGGAACCCTATGCCTAAGGAAATCTATGGGAGCCGAGTATCGTGGAGCTCCATTTTCGCTGCCATGACCTCCCCACACAGATACTCACGCGGGGCGCGGGCCAGTGCACCATAGAGAGGTGGCAGCACAATAACTGACAGCAAGGCATCGTCCGCCAGGCCGCACTCCCGGATGGTCCTTTCCTGGGCTGAATGGCGTCCAAAGAACCCCCTGCAAAATTGCGCTGTCCCCTTCTCATTGGTCCTGCATCTTGGTAGTTGCATAGTAAAAACAATCATGTTCAACCAAAATTGGACCGTGTTACCAGTGAGTGGGGAAATGGTCCACCAAGCACTTCAGAAGCGAAAGAACCACTTTGAAAAACACAAGAGTCAAACCGCATGTCAAGCCCACATGTCAAGCCCAGCTCTGCTAAATGAAGAACCCTCAAAGCGGCTTCTTGTCGTGTTCTTCCGAAAGCTGCCAGAGTCAAACCAAAGAACCAAACAAATTCAAAGTGAAACCAAAGAACCACTTCAGTCCAACCAAAGAGTCAAAGTAAAGCTTGACACCAAAGCACCATTCCGGTCGGCAAACAAAAGAGCCAATTCAAACCAGCCACACCAAAAGGGCGCCCTGTTGTTTGCAACCCCCAACTTGCTTTGTTGGACTCTATAGCCAAGTTTCGCTATAGAGTCCTCAAAACCCCGTTTGGGGGTTCTAAAAAATAAACGAAAGAAGCCCGTCCCCTTGCCACCACTGGGGACCAAGGCCACCGAGTCGCGTTGTTCAGCGCCTCCGCCCCGGCGGCCAGCTGAATCCGATGGGAGTTGATGCCCAGCTGATGGCCCACGAAGACCCGGAGACCCTCCACCGGCGAGTCCAGCGCCGTCACCACGCGCACCTCCCAAGCTCCAAGCTCCAAGCTCAAGCCCCCAAGCCCCAAGCAGCGGAGTCCCTTCCCTGGGAACCAGCGAGAAGAAAACGCGTTGCTAGGAGATGACCCCTTTCATTCTCATGCTTGGGTTCCTTCCAATGCCCCGTATCTGGGCCCCAATCAACGGGGGGAGGTGGCGCCTCGCGGCCATCCAGCAGCATGGCGGTCACCGAAATCGTCTCGCTGGGCATGGCGGAGTCTCTTTTCGTCTTTTCGTCGAGCGAGGGGCGCTGGGCTCGGCGGGGCCAAAATTGCTGCAGGCGGAGCGGTCGTCTTGGGGGGAAAGTACTGATTGACTCAGAGGTACTGGTTGACTCCAAATGTGCACTGCTGCCACTTCAACAAAAAACACAAAAGCAAAGAACTTTGAAACATGCGAAGGCCACTGAATGGATTGTCTGGAATGGATTCCAAACACCACAGGAAGACACACTCGCCCGCATGTCTTAAAACTGCGATGTTTTCAGGGTTCCAGTTTGAAACCCTCCCATCAAGAGGGTCAAACTCCTTTCCTGTTGCCACCAAACGACGCAACAGGGAAAAAACGGAGCCCGGGAATGGAAACGCGCCAATGATAAATCCATGCACTTATGCACTAGGAAAGCCCGACGTCGCCAGCTTTGCCGCGTGACTATCACTCACACTCACCAGTTGCCATTCGAAAATGCAGATTGCTCACCAAAGTGACATTGCCTCATCCAAATGGAAGTGTCTTTGTTTGAGGGTTCTTTTTAGGTTCAACTTCCCGCTTGAAAGGCGCCGAGGGTCGGTGCTGTCCGATGTGTCCCTTTTTCCCCGCAAAATGAGGACGCAACACCAGAATCATCAAATAGAACGCATGAACCAACCATCATGCGAAAGCGGAAAAAAAACTTGGAAAAACGCCGAAGGACACGCATGAATAGAAAAACCGGAGACCACCTCCCCTCCGCCGCGAACGGCAGAAACTCCGCGGGCGTTTTCTCCGCAAGATCCGGAGGTCGTCCTCCTGCCTGGGCCAGCGCCTCAGCATCCGCTGGCCCAGCAGCTCCCAGTTCTCCTCGCGCGAGATCGAGGCGGCGGACGCGGGACACGTCGCCTTCCGATGCCCCGGGCTCAGGGAGAGGACTCCATGGGTGTCCTGAAAAGGGGAAATAGATGGCCCTAGATGGCTCAGCCAAACCAGGGCCATCCATCCGCCAAAAAGACAATTTATGGCTCCAAGCCAAATCTTGGGACCTGAAAAATCGAATGGACCACATGCTGAGCGACTTGCAGGAGAACCGGAGGGTGGCCCATGGTACTCAAGGGCTGGAAATGTCACTAGTCCCTGGCTTGCAATGGTTCTTGCGATCGGAATCAACATGAACGTGCCCTGGGTTTACTCAGCGCAGGCACTAACCACATTACCAGGTATCGGCTGCTGTGGACCCGCTCTTTGGACGGGCCAAAACCCAGAGGGTGTGGTGATGTTAGGCTAGAAACCCTCTGAAGGCACCACAAGTCCCAACCCAAACCTTTGGCTTCCGCGGCCAAACTACCATGATGTTGTTCGGTATCTCCCGTGCCGGGGGGGTGGGAGGTGTGTCTTCCCCCCAAAAGTGATGGAATCCCCACTGAACCCAGGGACACCCCCCTATTCGTAAACCGGGGTTGATTTTTGGGGGTCAACATTCGGAGTCGTTTTGACGGGGCCCTGCGATATCCCCAGACGCGCCTGCAACTCTTGGTGGAAGGTCTCGCTGCCGTGCCACTTGCCCCGGTCACCCACCAGCACCAGCACGTGCCCGCCTCGCTCGAACACCGCTTGACAGTCCCTATGATTTCCTCACGTAACATCACCCGCGGGCCACGTATACGAGCAAAACTCGCCAAATCTCCGTTTGGAGAACGGATCCTTTTAGGTGCCATGCCGATTTACAGGGAATGTCCCCAAACAGGGGAAGGTTCCATTCCTATGCTAGAGGCCTAGGGTTTCATATTCGGCCCATTTCGGTCACAACAAGAAACTGGTGCAAAAGAACCTACCTTGCTGGTGACGCCGCTTGGTTGATTTCCAAACTCATGACCAGTCTATCACTTTGAGGGCAACTTCCTCTTCAAGGAACCATTTGGGGGTCCACACCCTAGGCTCACAATTAGGTATCGCGGGTCTCCGGCTTGCCGTAAGTTTCAGGACACGGCTTTTCGGCGCCTGTCGAGCGTGGCGGGCTCTCTCGAAAAGTCTTCTGGTCGAAACACTTCGGCACCGACATGGCCACGAAGGTTTATGCATCCAACAACCCCCAGAAAGCAGTAGAACCACCAAAAGATATGGCCAACAGAGTTTCTGCGCGCTGCTCGCCTGGGTATGTGTTTCAACATCAGGTGTAGTTGGAACCATTCTCGCGAGCAGGATACCACAAGTTGCCAACCCTTAGTCCCATGAAACATCTGCCAACGCTGGTCGAGCGCAGAGATGGTGACTCTCCCGAAGGCCCCTCGAGGGCTGCACATTGGCTCAAGATCTGGGTCGCAAGAACCCTCTTCTTTGCTCCGTGGTTTCCGGCTTGTGTTTTTGAGAAATTGTCAAAAGCTCAGCGATGCTAGGACCCTGGGCATCCCCAACATCCTGGGTTGTGATGCTGGTGTTGTTGGATATTGATGTTGGCTTGGCAATTTCTCTCTTGCGGGATTTATGTTCGCCTAATTACCACTTTTTGAGTTGGTCCCAACCGCTGAGATTCATAGCAATGTGGTGGTCCATTGGTTTTCGCACTCCAAATTCTGCCAAGGCGGCCAAACTTCTGGAGGGCAGTGTCCGCCGCATCACTGTGCGGGGGCCAGCACCTCAGATTCAGAAAAAATGTATGTGTGTGTGTGTGGGGGTTTCTTGCTGGTGCTCATTCGGGAATGAGGGAATGAACCCAGGGGTCCCCTTATCGGAAACCACAAGGAATGGGCTCGAATAAGATTTGGGCGCACCATAAACGCTAGGTGTCCTTCTGGCTTCCCTTGAAAACGACCAAAAAGAAGCCTGGCTTCACGGGATAACGGCAGAAAGGGGTGCGATACACGCAAAATGCACAACCACAGGCGAGCAAGGGGGACATGTCAACCGCAACCCCTTTTCGGAGCATTGAAACGCGAGCCTCAAAAAGATGACTTTGGGACAAATCTCCAATTGAGTTGAGCACATGTTGAACCCCTTTTCGCGTTCCGAGCTCTTTCAGCCATTGGTTTTCGGCTCAACCCGGGGCTGCGGCAGAAAGAGCGCCGCCTTTGGGTGGCCCAACACGGGCAACTCCTGCCCAGCTTGCGACAACGGGGCTTTTGGGACTTGGTTCAAAAGGAAGCCAAAGGAAGACCCACCCTGAAGGTCAACAATCCACCCCATTTTGACACGTACCCGTCCTTTGGATATTTGAGGCTCAGCCCCTCGCTGTTTGTGGTATTTCGAAAACGGGGGGGGTTCAAACTATGGGATACATGAGGAACTTGTAAACCCAGCGGACAACACTTCGCACCAGTTGGGATTGGTTGTTTATAGGGTTTCCTCCATCCCAAACGGCGCCGACCGGCGTGCATGTGAAACATGGGTGGGAAATGTGCTATTCGGAAGCAGGAACGCATAACACTCTTCCACTTGGGATTTCGACCCCCCGGAGAACCTAGGGCAAAACACATGGAGCAACCTGAAGCAGTTGAGTAACACAACTTGTTCAGACGTAGACCCCGGAAAGCCAACTGTTTGCAAAGCGAAGGAAGCCCCAAGAGGGCCTAGGGCAGAGTGACCCCGAAACCTGGCCTCGAGGCGCATTTCAGCCACGGGAAACCAGCATAGCCGCCCTGGCGCAGGGAATTTCAGGCGGTTGATCCCTTCTCCATTTGGTTTTCTCCAAATGGAGGAGCCCCCAAACTGGGCGGTGTCCCTTTGGCTTCCCTTTAAACGCCAAAAGGCGCCCACAAAAGGACGCTCCCATTTGTTTCAACCGCTCTTTTATCCAAAAACCCGACCGTTTGCCCGTGTTCGAGGCCGCCTGTAAGACTTCGGATCCCGTTGGAGGTTGCCGGCCCCAACAGGGCAAAAGGGGTTTTGGCGTCAAAAGGCAATCTGCCACTTTGCGGGGTCCTGAAGCTCTGGTATGGCTTAGCATTTCAATGTGCAGATTCGGATATGTTCTGTGTTCTTAATGTGTCAAGAAGGCTGGTGCTTGGAAACCTCCAAAGCTGGTTCATGTGCGTGCTGTCTAGTGGTGAAAACGTTACAAACGGGCAAGGTACTCCGATTCATTGATGCTAGGGCCCCTGTCCTAGAAGGGCTGCCAACCAACCAACCAACCAACCAACCACCCCCAGCCAGCCAACCAACCAACCAACCAACCACCCAGCCAGCCAACCAACCAACCTAACTAACCGACTAGCCAACCAACCAAGCATGCATCCAACCAAGCGAGCAACCAACCAACTGACCAATTGATCAACTGATCAAGTCACTGTTTCCCGTATCAGTCCCAACCTTTTGCTGCACTCCACGGCCCCACCCACTTTCCCACTGCAAAATCACCGCAAAAGTGAGTCCGTCCCCCCCCACCCCCCGAAAAAGAATCCTGAAAATGAATGGGTTTTGTGGCTCAGTACTTGATTCTTGTTCTTTGTTTTTTTTGGGGGGAGCCCACCAAAAAGGCTTGGCACGCCTTGAGTGCAGGAATCAGATGCCGTCACTTGTAAGCCCTCGCGCGCCAGAAGCTGCGCGTGCCTCATGGCGGCTTCTTTTCAGGATCATTTGGCAAAACCCCGTACCCCGAGTGAACATCCCAATCCACAGTAAAATGCACTAAACTGGGTGGTGCACCCCCAAAATGGTAGGTACCATTGGCTTTGACGCACAGCCATGGCCCATCTGGAAACTAGCAAGCTGACAGCACCCACTTTAGTCCAAGAAGGTTTTAGCTGCCATCCCACCAATCCTCACATGGGTATCTTAGTTGGGCCAAAAAATGTCTCCAGAAGGGGACCGGCTTCTTCTTGACATGCATACCCGGCTACTTTTGTTCCTTAGGGTTTAGATGAGTCTGTGACATGTTCCACTGAAGGTTGAAGGTTTAGGAAGGGATAAACGAACCAACCCAAACCCTCCCCTAAGAAAGGTGATTACAAGATCCGATATGTTCATCAACTCTAGGGTTGGGTTGGCTGCAAAATATACTCCCCCCCCCCCCCGCCCCACCCCCCAGCCCCGCTCTCTCTCTCTCTCTCCTTCTCTCTCTCTCTCTCTCTCTCTCTCTCTCTCTCTCTCTCTCTCTCTCTCTTTGTCGCTCTTTCTCTCTCTGTCTCTCTCTCTCGGGTAAAAAAACATAAGAGATGACAATTCTTATCCATTTCGTCAATGTATTGAATATTGCATATTTCTAACTTTGATATATCATATTTCAACTAAGACGTATTATATACTTGAAACCACTTGTCTACATTAAAAAACTCATTTTTTTAATATATAGCACACGGTACTTGTTCAAAACGGAAGGTGGTGCTGATGATGATAGTGATGATGGTGGGTCCATGGTGATCGTGCCGATGATGAGGATGATGATGATGATGATGCCTAGATTAGGCGCACATATGTCTACCTCAAGACCGTGACAACAGCATGCTTTGCATGGACGACCCTACATCGTCCGCAAAGTACATGCTGCGCTTGAGCCACGAGGCCTGAGACAAGAGGATTGTCATCTCACTGCCGCGCTCGCCGTTGAGCTCGCAAAAGACAGCGAGGAAGTCCGCCAGGGGCAGGGTGAAATCCTCATCGCTCGGGCGCATCACTGGGGCGCCAGAGCTCAAGCTGGCCAGGTCTCCTTAGTGCGGGGAACGTTGAAATATTACAAATCACAGAACTAGATGATGAGGACGATGTGGTGATGATGATGTGATGAAAATGACGAAGATGGTAGAAATATTTTTCACACTGATTTAAAAACTCCCTTATTTTTCTCACGAGGCCAGTGCCTTTGGCAGCTTCAGCCTCTCTTCGCTTTCTGCCTCCTCCTCTGCTGCCTCTTCCTGCCGCCTCCTTCTCTGCTTCCTCCTCTGCCTCTTCCAACAACAACAACAAAACAAGCAAACAAAGAAAACAACAAACAAACAAACAAACAAACAAACAAACAAACAAACAAACAAACACAACAACCCAACAAACCGAAAAAGGCAAAAACACAACAAGCAAAACAAAC